ACGCTACTGAGCTGCGGAATCATTCACCTCACACGTGGGCCCATGATCCACGGAGGTGGGGTGTACAGTTTGCTGTTAAAGGCAGTTGGCACGATAAATCCTCAAGACGAGTAGGATTAATACGCCTGGCAGGACGGAATTCCGCGACCCTGAGCAGGCGCTGCGTAGCGCCTTTTCCAAGGAAGGTACCCTTATAAGGCCCTATCAAGCTACAACATACCGACCCGAACGCCCACCCGCCCACAAATGGACGACCGTTCCTGACGCTCGTATTGATTCATTTGCTAAGCAAATTATGAAGCGAAGGGATTGGTATGAAGCGGCCGCGGTGCTGCATGGATATATGAACACACACATGCAGCCGTGTCTTCGGTAGCGGTCATTGGGAACATTGGGAAGACACCTATGGAAAACTCGTCAATAGACTTTTGAGCCATTAAGAACGATGGCTTCTTCTTCGCAGGACTTTTGACCGTTTCACTCCGTTCTTTCGCCATTTTCCCAATAGCGCCCTGCTAGCATTTTAGGCCAAGTACCAAATTATCGTGCCAACTGCCTTTAAGCACCCCACTTTCGTTTGAGTGCTATAGAATATGGGGACACTATTGTTGAGCACACTGTTATCCAAACGTTAGCATAAATAGAAAGGGCCAAACTATCTATTGGCCATCTGGGTAACGGCAATCTTGAAAACGGAAGAGCACAGAGCTAGGAGCCGAGTAGTTTTTGAGGTACCGTTCACCTTTCCTCGTTTGTTCCAATTGTTAAGTGTATTAATAATGATTTTACTACTATATCAGGGATATTGAAGCACGTTGTCCTAGCCATTAGAAAAATAGACTATCAGCGACGGCGACAAGGCCGACATGTAAGCCAAACAAAGTTGTTAATATCTTGGCAGTGGTTTGAACATCTAATCAGAATAGACTATCAGTTAACTCTTCACTTCATAAGCTCGGAAAATCTTAGATTTCCATCGGGAAAATGTGCTAGTGTGGAAAAAGCCCATTTCTCTTGGAACGTACTGTTTGTCAGAAAGACCACTATAAAGAGAAGTGTCCTTTACATTATTAGGTTGTTCGAAAAGTCCTGCGACACTTTGATTAAATTGTTCTAGAAAAAGACCAAAAATCATTTTGGATGTTTTTATCCCTGATTAGTGGAGACTGTCCTCTGGGGTTTCTGCACATGGGTATATCATGACTTTGAGGAAGTTTTCAAAGCTTAAAAGTCCCCCAGAGATCGAGGTACTTTTCGACCTGTCCCATATTATGAGTTCCTGTAGGGCCACTCGCCGTAGTCGAGGAAGCTGACACTTACGTTGTCTTGAGGAAGGATATCGCTTGCCATGGCAGAGGGTAGCTTTTGCATCAGCGCTTCTAGGCTGGACTTATTTAACTCGTAGTTAGGCAATGTATAGGTCGCCCATCAGCACAGAATGACGGCCCTTTACTCAAGCTTCTTGAGGCGCAGCCGAAGGTAACCACCGGTAAGTTGGCGATTTCTCTAAGCTCTACCTGACTGACAACT